CTTAGAACCTTCTAGAGACAAGTTTCTAGAACCTTCTAGAAACAAGTCTCTGGAACCTTCTAGAAACTTCTTAGTTGGTTGAAGATGTTAGGGACATAGTCCTTAGAACCTTCTAGAGACAAGTTTCTAGAACCTTCTAGAAGCAAGTCTCTGGAAACTTCTAAAAGCCTACTAGTTAGTAGAAGTTGCTTGAGAAGCTTCTTAAATAAGAGTATATATTGGAATCGAGGCTGAAGAGTTCTTCAGTCTCGACAACACATCTCTTGGAGCTCTAGCTCACTTCTCTGGTGTTGTTCTTGTATTCATCTGATTAATCTAGTTCTTGCCAGTTCTTCTTGAACTTCTTGTTAGATCTCGAGTCTGTATTTTTGTGTCTGTGACAATAGGTTCTATTAAAAAATCTTACAAATATATTAGAATTGGTTTCTATCTTTTATTATTAACATCTTTTAAAATCAAGAATCAACTATTATAGTAAGATAGTATAAATCAAATTTAAAAAATTAAAAAAAATAAATTTTATTTGTTACATACAATCAAATATCTTCAAAAATATTTATATTAAAATAAAAAATAATAGCCATTAAAATTATTGTAAATACTATTATTTAAAAAATTATCAAATAGAAGATAATTTATTTAGACTTATAATAAAATAATGGTTTGATATATTTTATAGTTTATTTTTACTTTATGATATGTCTAAGGGCTAAAACTTCCAAAAGAGAGCTTTTTCTTTACCAAAAAAGGAATCTTAATAACACTTTTGAATCATGGATTTTCATATTTGACTTTTAGATTAAAAGTTTATTTTTAATTTCACACCTAACCACATTCTAAATGTGATATTTAAAAGTAATTATAAAAGCCTTAACAATAATTAAGTAAGAAGGTAGTGTTTTTGCCTATCTATGAAATACTATGAAAGGATTGCCAAACTTGTTAATTACCATTGTGTAAAATATAGATCAATTTTTATAACAAATATCATATTATTAATCTTAAATTTTATCAACTTGAGAAACAACTTGGCTATAGTATGTAAGACTTGTTTCTAAAAGATGGAGTAATATAACAAATACTTATATTGTTTATATAGAAATAGAATAAACTTAAAGTAAATAGAAATAAAAAAATATATACTAGATAAATAACATATTTTTTTAAAAAATAATAATAAAGTTATATAGATATATATTAGACTTTTTGATTCTTTTAAATATGTCATAAGGCCATGTAAACTTTACTAAAGAGTTTTCTACCTTTAAAAAACCACTATCAAAGTGATTTATAATTTAGATGTTTGGCTTATATAACTTATAATTCTAAAAAATCTTTTTTATATATATTTTTATTAAATAGTAAATATATTGGCAAGATTGAAGGCATCTTAAAATTTAGCAAATATTTTTTTATTATCTAGTCTTGATTCAAGTTTCTTTAATAAAAATATGAGAAAAATGGATATAGTTTTTTTTTTTAATTGTAAATAAATTTAAACTTAGTATTTAGAATATTTAATTTTTTTATTTTATAAATAGTTTGTCATCATTAATTTATTATTTTTTAATAATTTTTATCATAAAAAATATTTATTATACTTTAATTATTAACATTGACTATGATACCAATAAAAATTACATATAATATAAAATCTTGGAATTTTTTCAAAAAATATTTTTCAAATGTAAAAAAATATTTATCTTATTTTAGTTGTAAAAAAATATATATATGCAAACATATAAATACAAACATGTAGATGTAAATCTTTATTAATAAATATCAAACAGATTTGGCACAACCTAAGAAAACATAAAGATTCTTGTATCATTTTAATTAGTGTATCAGCTTTCTAATGTATTTTATTTTAAGTAAAACTATTTGTGTAAGATATCCTATAATTTTATTCAAATTCTAAAATATATTCAATGATAGTTATAATTTTAATAGAAGAAATTTATCTCATAATGATATTATTTGGTAATATTCATTTTTTTTCCATTTATGAGAAAAATGTTCTGTACATATATATACGAGTATTCAAAAGTTGTATACAAATAAAATCAGAACTTGATGGACACAAGCATTTTGAACAAAAGAGAAGACGAATACAGTAAAACTATCACATCAAGTGGAATCACTGGTTTAGAAGCACAAAAAGATAACTCATCTTTCTTATATACATATATACATGTATATATTTAAACACACACATACACAAAAAGGATTTTGTTACTACACTGATTCAATTCCAAGACAACGAAACACTTCCTGAGTGCCGGACTAATGAAACAAAGAAATGAAATTGTGAAGCATGAGTGTGATCAGATGGAGTAACAAGCTTGCGGCGAACCATGGACCAGAAACGACCGGACTCATCAGATATCCACTCTGCATGCACGAAGAAGAATGAGAGAAAATCTGCATCTGGCACAATTCCCACAAAGAATGAAGTCCTCATGTGGGTGCAGTTGTATCTGAAGCAACTGAACTTGACATCGACCGAACTAGGTCGGGGGAGTTGCATTCCCGGAGAATTGCACTGTCCGGGTATATACAAATACTGAGAATATACAAGTCCATGCGATCGTAGGATTGACTGAAGATGTGACCGATCGATGTTGTACTAGTTGGTGAAGATCTGCCAATTTGAGTGCAGTTTACTGGATTTAGACAGCCGCTGACTCACTTATCAATTGATCGCGTCGCCGTTACTTGTGGACAGGTTTAAATGAGCGCCTGTTACATTAAAAATGACCGTAACAGTACTGGCCGACGATCCAGTGCAAATCAGCGATCTCGTTAACTTGCTAGATATTGAAAGAAAGATGCTGATTCAACATCAAGTCTGGTTTAGCGCTTCATCAAGTTGCCGCAGATTTGATATTGAAAACTACTGATTTGAAGCCTGTGTGTAGCTCGTAATTTGATCAGGACGCCTGGATTGCGGGAAGCGGCGATGAGCCTAGCTAGGTGCAGTTCTGCTGGGCCGCCAAGGGACCATCGACCTGTGAGTCCATGGACGTAGTGGGAATTAGTCATATTTCAGGGAGATCCGTGCAGGTTCACGTGCGTGGAAAGTTTTCTGATGCGGTGGATATCCTTGATGTTCATTTGGGTGACCGCTCTGTGATCTCCTCCCAATGAATTTGTTTCACTGGGAAAAGAAGTCACGAGTATATCCATCTAGGCAAATCCCAAAAAGATCTTTGCAGTGGGTGTACCTTTTGCAACCAGCGTAGATTCTAGAATTGAAAGGAAAATTCATAACCAAATATATTTCATGTATCGACTATTCAGGAATGTTGAATCTCGTGAAAGCGATTGTGGATAATCCTGATATAAAAACTTCAGTTTGCTACATGCCAATGGAGCAATCCTGAACCAAGTTCCTTCCAGTTTACAGTTAAATTTAGCCAAAACTCCACTGGGATCAAATTTCAAACAAAGGATTCACCTTATTAGCTTGAATGACTGTCAACTATGTTTATTTCTTTTTTTTATCTCCTTCCAAATTCTTCATCTTATTTCCAACACCTGAATAGAATGTAATCATTTACTTGCAAATTCTTGAAGATTCATAAAGTGTTCATTTCCAGGTGCTACAAAGCGCTACAAAGCACAGCACACGTACGACTCTACGAATGGATAAGCATGGAGCAATCTGTCCTGAGGACGATTTTCAAGGTTGTTCATGTTGACGATGAAAACAGAAAACTCCCTACGCTTTTAGACCTTTTTGTGAAACTTGAAGGACGCCTTGAATCCTAAGCACCACACAAGACTGCGTAACTTTTTTACTTTGGTTAATTCCTACACCGACAGAGGCACTGGTGTAGGATGCAACATCACCCACAGATATTGTTTTCTCTGACTGCAAGTTTCTGAAACGTGAAGCCCCAGCTAAGAATCCTATTCACAAGTTCGGTTCCCACACTGTGAGCAGAAGCACCGCCTTGTAAGCGTAAATGTTCGGCATCGTCGTCAACAAAACTCTGAAGCAACTAGTCATGCTGCTGCCTGCTTTTGACCATAGCACCCACATTTTGACTATTTGACATGATAAAACACCTACTTTTCAAGTCTTTCAATCCCATTTGTGACCTCAGGGATCTCGAATTCCAGCCTGGTCAGCATTCAAGAGCTCATGAACATAGTTCTAGAATCATTTAACATTTTTTAAAGAAGTTACTATTTCAATGATTTCCACACAACGAACAGCATGTGCAAGTACCCATGGCATATCAGTCATGGTTTGATTCGGAAAGTGACATGATCTAACAACACACCGAGAATTCCAGATTCTACGTAATCTCGTCTCGTCTGGTCTTGTCTCTATCTACAGAATTGCGTATTGGACCAAGTCTTCCGAGATCAAGTAACAAACGATCCATCCATTCGCACATTTGCGCTGAATGCCAGGATTCTATTCATCTGTCAATGCTTGATTAACTACATTTAAAACAATTCATGAGGAGAATTTCTTCAAAAAGAAAAAGGAAGAGGGGAAGTGGAAGGGAAGACACCAGAGGTGAGAAAATGACTCACGTAACAAGACCTGATGTTGAGATTATAAGAATGTCTTGCGAAGTTTGGAACACGCATTCATCACATCTGTAGACTTGGGATCATAATCACTCTAGACCGAAACGGAGACCAAGGGGAGACCACGCCTCTTCAGACTGATCATTGCAATGCCGTGTAAATGTAAACCTTGTGGCGAAATTGCAATTTTCAGCAATCATCATCCAAAACCATGAGTGCAGTGGACTCACCTGCATGTGGTGCAGCAGATTGCCCGAAAAGACTTCCAGTAGGAACGGTCAAGTGAACCAATAGGGATAATGGAATGACACGAATCAGTGCAGCGCAGAACAGTAACTGGATTACGGAATGCATGGTGATGATTCCAGATGAAGGCAGGAAAAAAGAGAGAGAAAATACAAGATAATTCCATATCATCGTCCAAGGTTTGTACGTACCGCCCTACCTGCAATGAATTAGTCCATGGATTGTTTGTCAGCCCTGGCATTTTTGTTTTCATCTAGGAACAAAGCTCTTCGACCTGGAGGTATTAAGCCCAAAGACCAGTCTGTGTTGAGAGGGGGCTTCGGAACTTGGCTATGGTCATCACCCCGGAACCTAGAATAACTGGGAATGGAGGGAGCAGTCTGGGTTCGTGATGGACTGATCCCGCCCAAAGGGTAGGGAGTCATCTTTGGCCAAGTAGGCGAAGAGGATTTCGTAATCACAGGTGCAATAGAATTTTTCGTCGCCGACGCAATAATATTCCTCGTCTGCTTAGTGAAAACCGTCTGTTTAATGATACTCGCCACTAGGATTAGGGTTATAGTTTTCACAAAAGCTTCACGCCGTTTCAAGCCTTGAGGAGTAGGGTTCCCTTCGTCGCAAAGTTCAGGCCCAAGTACATTCAGCAATGCCCCAGCAGCACAAACCTGCAAAGCTCCGTCGCAGAAGATGCTTTAGCAGAAACTCGCGACGATGGAGCGACAAATTAACCAGGTAGGGCATGTGTGTATGTGATTGATTGGTTACCTGCGTTTGGACCTCCGTGCTTTGAAGCAGCTTGATGAGCGAGTTGATCGCATCACTGTCGCGGATAAGAAGGCGACTTGCGACCTCCCGTGAGACATTCTGCAGTGCACCCGCGGCAGAGCCGCACACACAAGGCTGGGTGTGGTGGAGAAGCCTAACCAGCCACCGGATACCCCCTCTTCGCCGAATCACGCGGATGGAGTCCTCATCGGAGCTTATGTTGTGTAGCGCTCCAACTGCCCGTGCCCGGACCTATACCCAAACGCGAACAGCGAACTGTAACTCACGTCTGCGACCTACTCGAAATTGCAGGTGTCTAATCATTCATGAGCATTGAGGAGAATTTGTACGTTGAGGGATCCGGAGGAGAGAAGATCCACCAATGGTGGTATGGCACCCAGGCTGCGAACCACTGTCCGGCCCTCCGGCTGAAAGCAGATGCTCTGTAGCGCCCCGGCGGCATTAGCCTGAAGCTCCTCATCTTTCGATGTCAGAAATTCAACCTGTCGAAAACGATTCATTCGTAAGAAAGAAATTGTAGAGCAGAGTATTACGAAAAATGATGAAGAGGAATCAAGGTTAGGTTAAATTACCAGAGTGGACGCTCCTCCGCATGCTAATAAGGCCCTCACATTGTCCCTCTCGTAGCAGACGTTGAGCACCACGTTGGCGCCCTCGGCTAGGATCTTGGTGTCCACAGAGTGATCGCTGAGATGCTTCAGCAGCTGAGCTATGGCTTTCTGCCCCAATGCCTTGCGGTTCGTCTCCTTGCGGGACAGGACCTTGAGTTGCGTTAGAAATTGTAGCAAAGTCTGCTGCTCAATTAACCATTTTGTAGGTTGGGACAGCTTCGCTTTTGCCTCCTCTAATTCTCGAGCATCCTGGCAGTCATCGTTGCCAGCACTCAGCGGACCGAGAGATTCCATCATTCCCTTCCAAGGATCAACCCCAGGAATCTAAACTGGCAGGCTCCTAATCTTCTCCATCAAAGGCCAGACATTCCGTAGCGTCGCAACTTTTCTGTCCTTGTCAAATCAAACAAGTCCTTCGATCATGTTCTGCGAACAGAAATCAAACATCTGAAAAGCACTCGTCACGCCGCACCACAGGAATTGTCACAGGGGTTGTAAGACCTCTTAGAATTGACGATTCCAAAACTCGGGGTAGGTATCAAAGATCTTAAAGATTTCAAGGTTGTGACGATTTTGAAGACTCTGAGAGAAAGGAAGGTGGTGAATGCGATCAGCTGAACCTTGGAGATCGAATTAGTTATTCTGGTTAACCCGTTGATGCATATTCCGGAACCACCGACGTGATTGGTTTTTGTGTTTCATCTTAAGATGAGACCTCACGTGCTCCTCATTCCAGATGCAATCACGCAAATTCCACGAGTGGCTTCATCTGCAGCAATTTGATCCCCACCATGGCGACCGCCGGTCGGTAATGCCCTCACCTCTCATGCAGCTTGCAAACTATGGCGCAGCTCATCCCAGCTCCAGGGCCTCGTTTGCGAACTGACTTTCTCAATGCTGAAGGTCGTTCCTGAGGTTTACAAATTTAAGTTGACATACGTTGATGAGTTTCAATTGCTACACTGGCTGCAGATCTCGTTGGCCAATCTTGTGCCACCGATTGAATTACGACCCACATGAGAAGATCCAGAATGTGAAGGTGAATTCAGCGAGAAGCAATTCAATTCGTTCCCATTCACAACTCTGGAGCTGCATTCTTTTCAACACGGAACATTCCACCATCCCGTTTTACCCACTTCTCAGGATCCAACTCTACACCGTAAAACTCTCTCCAAAGATTGATGCGACGATAATCGCATCCTTCATTGTTGCACTAGACGAAATCGGAGACGGCGTACTTTTCCATTGTTTGTGAGCCGCACTTCTTCCTCTCCAGATCTACGAGCAAGTAAACAATACTCAAGTCATGTTTTATTCATGGTTTACACGAGTATGAGGAGCTGCAAATTGTCATGCAAAGTCTTCAAAGAGTCTTAAGATGGGTGGTGATTTTTTGTAGTAAAAGTTTGAATGGTGGTTTCACAATCACACCAAGCATGCAATCTATCAGAAAAATTCTTAGGAAAACATGAGCGTGACTGAAAGAGAGCTAAAGGAAAAGTTATATTGTATTGCATGACATCACTATTTGAGAGCTGAATCTATTGTGAAAGTTTGAATTTCAGTTGTGCATAGAGTATTTTTGATTTTTTGATTTTGTTGACATCCAGGAAGTTTTAAAATGAGAGAACAAGGAAACATGGTGCCCTGAGTCCAAATACCTTCTGATTTGCAAAAAGTTATTGTATAAGTGGATCTGTTTAATTGAGCACCGTTGGATGAATCCAAGACACAACCATAAAAGACTATAAGTAATCATTTCATATAGTTAATTCTTTTTCTTTTTCATTTTGATTATCATGTTATCTAAGATCTATTGCATTAAGTGGATTTAGTTTGATTTTAATTTAGAGTTTTTTAGAAAAAAAATTAATTTGTTTCTAATTCAAACAATTTTTATATTGTAAGCTAGTCAATGTTAATTGTTTTGTATTCTTGTCATTCCATATATCTTCTACAAAGGTAATAATGATTCTTTAGATTCGAACCTTTTATGAACAAATGTTACAAATGAGATTCCAAATAATTTTAAACTTTTTAAACAATAGAATGAATTGTTGTACAAAAATAGATCATTGCTGAAAATTATAGTTTATTATGATAAATGCTATAAATTCTTATATTTTCATAATATTTTTGTTTAATGATTTAGATCCTTTTTAATCTAAATGCAAGCTCTAAAAGTATATTTTTTCTTTAAATATTTTTATTTTATTATTTCAAGGAAATAAAAATTAATTATTTTTTAAAATTTCAAGTGATTTGATATAGATTTAAATACAATGATTAATAAGAATTTTGATTCTATAAAATATTAAACTATCTAATATTTTGATTTAAAAGGTTAAATACTATTATAAAAGATATTAAATTGCCAATTGAGATTTATCATTTAAAATAGTTTTAAAAAGTTTTGTCTTTTATATCAAGTCTATATTATAAATAGATTTATTTTTTACATAAATCTCTTGAGTACATTGTTGTGTTGAAACATGGCTAACGGAAAAAAAAAATATTATTGAAAATCTTATTTCAAAATTTAATAGAAAATTATCTTAAAAATATAAATAATAGGAAAGAAGATAGTAAAATCAATGAATATTAATGCTGTATTTTTGCAAAATAAGCTTCTATTCACTTTATAGGGCCATAAATAAGTCAAAACAAGGTATATTAGAAAAATTAGTATCATGTACATATCTTAAGGTAGAAGTAAATAGAATCTTCTAGCAAAACTTATTAAGGAAATACTAGATTTTGATACCTAAAGAGGCTCAATTATGAACTTGGAACAAAACTAGACTTTGAGATACAAAATTATATTCTTAAGGTAAATTCAAGGTTCTTTTATTGATCAAAGATTGAGGTTTGCAAGTAGATGAGAAAGAGGTTTTTTAAGCATTGGTTTTGAATAATTTGAGTTTGTAATTACTTTATAAGAGTTTTGCAAATTCAAAGTTGTTTTGTAATGCCTTTGATTTTTGTGAAATAATTTTTTTTTTATTCTTTAGAGCATTTTGTGAGATTTTTAGAAGCTTTGCTAATAAATATTTATGATTTTGTGATTATAGTTGTTTTAAATATGTATTTTAAATGTAAATTTCATCAAATGATTAAATTAAATGCTATTGAAATTAAAGTAGATTAGGATCTCAAAAATTGGAATTTAAAGGATTAGTAAAGGTTTCTAAGATTTGGAATAATTTGGTAGTTAGATTGAGATTAAATATGGCACATATGTAACAAATTTAATTTCTAAAAATTGTAAAAAAATTGAAAGCAATTAAATAGTGAAAATAAGAAATATTAGTACTAGGAGATTGTCATCAAGGTTGAAGAAAGAAGTCGATTGACATTCAAGTAGCTTATAAGATTTATCTCTTATTTAATAAATTTGATCCTCTTCAAATTTATTGTGCTTGTTTTCAACTAAGAAATTAAAAATTATGCACATTTTGAGTGAAGATCAATAATTTTATTTATAATTATTGAGGGTTTGAATTTGATATAGGATTTTGTTAAGATTTACTTAGGATTTGATTAGGATTTGATGAAGATTTGAATATGGTTCCTTCAAGATTTCATTAGGATATATTCAGGATTTAATAAATATTTGGTTATGATTTGATTAGAATTTATTTAGCATTTAATTAGAATTTGATTAGGATTTGATTAAGTTTTAATTATATTTTTTTAGGATTTGGTTAAGGTTTATTTAGATTTTGATTAGAATTTCATTAGGATTCATTTAGGATTTCAAAAATATTTGATTAGAATTTCATTAAAATTTTTTTAGGCTTTGATTAAGATTTGACTAGATTTTTATTAGTGTTTGGTTAGAATTTGGTTAAGATTTATTTAGATTAAGATTCTTTTAATTTGATTAAGATTCTTTTAGGATTTAAATAGAATTTGGCCAAGATTTTATTAGGATTTGATTAGAATTTGATTAGAATTTGATTAGAATGTTTGTTGTATCAATTTTATCTCTTTTTTTATATTTAAAAATATTATCTAATTAAAGATAATAAAAAAATTGAAGAAAATAAAATATCATCAGCTATGAAAAATCTACTAGTTATGTGTAATCTTGTAGTATACCATAATCTAATTTAAAACTTATTAGATAAATAAGAAAATAATTATAATTAATTATTTGTACAAAAAAACCATTGAGATGCTTAAGAATATTATAACTTCATCAATTTTTGCCTAAATCCAATCAAACTATTTTATATTTTGCCTAAGTCCAATCAAACTATTAATCTATTATATATTTTTAAATAAAGATTTTTTATAACATGCAATCAATTTGGTCTAATTAATTTCAAGAAAAAAATAATCCTAATTTCATGTTGCATTTTATATTATATACAAATAATTATTTTCTTTTGAATTTAAAATAGAGTTGGTATATTAGCAAATTAGTTTTGGAGCTTTATTTTTTTATAAAAACACTTTCTGAAAATTTCATAAAAAAATGAAATAAGTAAATATTTTACAGCAAAGAAATTTAAAAAAATATATATTTTGAAAAAAAATAGATTTTATTTTAAAAACATATGACAAAAAAATGGTAGAAATAATTTTTTTAGTTTAAGTAGATTGATTATATGTATATATATATATATATATATATATATATATATATATATATATATATATACATATGTTAATCTCTTTGATATTTTAATCTACATATTTTTTAATTTAATTATTTTTTATGCCAATTATCTAAAATATGTTTTTTAATATAAATTATAAGTTCTTTTAGATATCATAAGTTGTAGGTTTAATTTTAGAAGAAACTATATTTTTTTTACTTTGATCTTTGGTTCTATTTATAATTTAGATTGAGAAATAAATTTATAGTTTTATTTTATATTTCTTTAATTTTCCAATAAAATTTTATTTTTATATATATAAGATATATTTTTTTCAACTTTAAATTCATTGAGGTATAAAAATATACAATAGATAAAAATATTTTTGAGAATATTTTACAAATAAATTTTAGAATTAATTAAGAAGTTATTTGATGGTACTAAATTTTCATAGGTGGAAAATGTATATATATTATGTTATAAAATAAAACTCTTATTTAAATACTATCTATTTTTTTGAAGATTCATATAAATTTGTTTATTTTTTCTAATAATTTTTATTCTATCTTCTAATAAAAAATATGATCTTAAAGAAAAAATAATTATTTACATGTTTTTATAACTAAAATCTTGAAACATTAGAAAAAAATTTAATAAAAAAGAAATCATATTCTAATACATCTTTACAAA